TGGTGGCTCGGCCATGGCCGAGCCACCCCTTGGTGGCTCGGCTTTGGCCGAGCCACCTGGGTGGTTCGGCTTTGGCCGAGTCGCCCGGGTGTGGCGCCGTTGTGTCCGTTGTCCGGTTCTGCGGTTTATCTGAGCTTTGTCGCTGATCTGAACTCTGATTTGGCAGTCCGGATCCTGATTTAACAGTAAATCCGCCTCGGTGTTCGAGTTCGAATTCGTTCTATGGTTGAATGACTCGTTGACTCCCCGAATCGTTGGCTTGATTCCGTACGCGAATGGATGCATTCCGTTGCTTGCGTGCGATTCGTTAACCTCGTCGCCTCGTTAATCCGCTTCGTTGCGTGTCACTTGGCTTCGGTGTTGCGGACTAACACTCATGTTTAGATACGTCACCCGATGGTTCGTTGATTTGTCGAATCACCGTGCCGAGCTGTGTTCAAGGACCTATAGGCAGTTTTATACGCCTACAGATACCCCCTCCAAAGTATTTCAGCCTCGTTCTTTTATGGAAGAGTCTGGAATACTTTGGATATGATTGTCCCAACCTTCAGTCGGTGTAACGGGACTTTGGAATGGCTTCTGTTCTTGATTCCTTCAATCCTCCAGGCTATTCGGTGCTTTGTCGAATGTCTGTAAGGGTTCCGGTGCTGCATTTATTGCCTGACTGTTGTCGGAATTTTGAACTTGAAGTCGATTCCTGATTTTCTGATCTTTAACTCGTATTTGTTGGTTCAACATAGAACTGATCCTCGATTGTTGGCGTTGAGTCTTTATTTGCGACGCGTTGTCCGGCGTAGTGTTGTTGAGTTATCCTTAAGAATATTTTTAGAAAAATATTCTCCAGAAACTTCTCAACCAAAAATAGGAAATAGTTTATACTCGTATACCTTATTGGAGTACTAAGAAGCAGTTTATACTCGTATACTTTTCGGAGTATTAAGAAGCAGTTTATACTCGTATACTTTTCGGAGTATTAAGAAGTAGTTTATACTCGTATACTTTTCGGAGTATTAAGAAGCAGTTTATACTCGTATACTTTTCGGAGTATTAAGAAGCAGTTTATACTCGTATACTTTTCAGAGTATTAAGAAGCAGTTTATACTCGTATACTCTGCCACAATGTTGAATATGTGGGTGGGTGTTCTTTTTAACGGTTAAGAACTAACCGGCAGCGCGGGTTAAGCGCAGACTTATCCTTGCTTAGGTTTTAGGATAGGATACCCCAGAATCGAACTCTGGTGTCTTTTTCTATGGAGAAAGACTAAACCGGCGACGCGTGTTAGGCGTTGGCATATCCTTTCTTAGGATTCAGGATGAAATTCCCCATGCGTGTAAGGCATGGATTTTGGTGTTATTAATAACAACCTGCCACAATGTTGAATATGCAGACGGATGTTCTTTTTAACAGTTAAGAACTAACCGGCAGCGCGGGTTAAGCACAGACTTATCCTTGCTTAGGTTTAAGGATAGGATACCCCATAATCGAACTCTGGTGTCTTTTTCTACGGAGAAAGACTAAACCGGCAGCGCGTGTTAGGCGCAGACTTATCCCTGCTTAGGATTCGGGATAAACTTCCTAGGATGAATCCTAGATTGATAAATTCTTAGAAAAGGTTGATGTGGGAAAGGAAGAATTTTATATTATATTTCCCAGTCTTCTTTTAGGGTGAAGGCGAACCCGAATGCAAGGAAGGAAGAATTTTATATTCTATTCCTTGATTCTGGAAAGGAAGAATTTTATATTCTATTTCCAGCGCAAAAGAAACTAGAAGTGGGATCTCCACTCCGAGAATCGGACAGATTCGGATAATCCTAGCTGTCGGAAGGTTGGATTACCGAATTAAAGGTGAATTCCTCGTTTATCGAGAGTGAATTGTGGTTTTGGTCCTAACTGTAGGAATGTTTGACCAAGCAGGAGTTTAAGATGACCCTAACTGTAGGAAGGTTTGATCACTCGATTTGAAAGTGAACCTCTCATTCATTGGAGGAATCGAGAGGGAATTTTAGTTTTGGTCCTAACTGTAGGAAGGTTTGACCAAATGGGAGACGATCCTAACTGTAGGAAGGTTTGATCGCTCAATTTATGGGCCTCTCGTTCATTTAAGGAATCGAGAGGGGATTTTAGTTGTGGTCCTAACTGTAGGAAGGTTTGACCGGATGGCAAAGGGAGTGGAATACAAGTAGCAGTAGAAATACTGGTTTGTACTGGCCACTCGATGAAGGGTTTTGACGTTAAGTAATTAGGACTTAACACGTCAAGCTTTGGAAATTGCCATGAATTGGCGGACAGAAAATTTAGTGGACCCACCGTCAATTGACTTGATCAGTGGGGGATTTTTGTGAGGAAAGATTAATCTGTCAAAAAGGATCGAATCTCGTCTCAACAAGATAACTCATGAGATTTAGTGAATTTGATAACAATAATGGAAAACATTCCGACGTTTAGAGTTTAAATGTGGATGTTTTACTTATCACTTTTATAGTGATTGGGTTATCCCTAATGATATCACCCATGGTATTCTTTCGGGAACTTCCCGATACATGAATAATCCACCCCCAGCTTCCCTTCTGGAACTGGGTCCGACATTGTACTCAGTTACATGACCGGGTTATCCTTAAGAATATAAAAATTCTCCAGGAACTTCCCGTGAAAGAAATGAAACAGTTTAGACTCATATACATGTTGGAGTATCAGGGAGCAGTTTAACCTCTTATACCGGTCGGAGGATTGCGAAGCAGTTTATACTCTTATACTTGTCGGAGTCGAAAGAAGCAGTTTATACTCTTATACTTGTTGGAGTATTGCCGTTCTTATTTGGCTTATCTCAGCGTTATGACGTCGGCTTCAACCAAGGTTTGGATGCTATTCTTGAGAGCGAAGCAATCCTTGGTGGGATGAAGGACCCTCCTGTGGTATGCACAGTACTTCGGATCCGCGGTATTGTCAGCTTCCTCCTGATTTGCGATAGGTGGTAGCTTGATCTTGTTGCTTCCAAGGAGGGATTCGAAGATGGCTGGAACGTCTTCGTCCTTGAAGGAATACTCTTTTTTGAGTCTCGGGTCCGAAGTCTTTTGCTGCCTTCGGGATTGCTGTTGTGACGTTTGATTAGCACCACCAGTAGCTGCAGGTGCCTTGCCCTTACCGCGAGAGGCGAAGTTCGAATTCAGAGGATTAGCCGTCGGTAGGTTCCTCTCGGCCTTCTTCCTTCGGAGGAAGCGTTCGGCTTGTTCACCGCGCACCTTCAAGTCTTTCCAAGTGTTAGACGGTGCCGTTCCCATTGCCTCTAACACGTCCAACGCGAGGTTGTTGTGGCAAGTCTGGAGAATAAACTCCTCAGTGATCGGGTCCCGATAGTTCATCGCCTTGTTCCGGAACCTTTTTACGAAGGTGTCAACCAATTCCTCGTCCT